TGTTGTGCTAGGAGCCACAAGGCCAGGGCTGGGAGGGCTCCCCTCCCTGAGATTCCAAGATAAACACACTCACAGCATCGCCTGGAAATGGTGGCTTGTAGTTCAAAGGATCAGGAGGGAATCCGGAAAAAAAATCAGGGCAGCACCATAGAGAGCAATTTCCCTTATCAACTTCTGTGCGCCTCCTAAAGGCAGAGGACCTGCAAATTACGTCAGGGCCTCTTGAGTGGTTTCCACAAGGACTGATGCTGACGGGGATCTAGAAAAACAAAGGCAAGCCATGCCCAGACAAGCCTCCATCTCAGAAGCGGAAGTCCTTGGCATAAGGTAAACCGTATTGACAAAGCCCTCACTGGGTGAAAAGTCCAAAGCAAGGACAAAGAGATGATGAGAAAACCAAGTCTGAACATTTGCTTGGACAAGTTAGAGGCAAGAAGGCAGAGCTGGGGCTGAAAAAAAAATCCAGTGTTCACAGGAGGTGCCCAGCGTGTTAATGGTTGCTGTCCAATATGGCAGCCGTGGCTGCTGAACCCTGCAATGTGGCTAATGCAACTGAGAAACTGGACTTTGAGTTTACTTTCATTTTAACTAACCTAAATTCAAAAACTGACACTTGATTCAGTTGTTAGAAAACTTTTGAAGCATGTTCCAAACAACTTTAGAAGGTGAATCTAGCTTTTCAACCATGAAGGGAGTCTTTTCAGTCTCTTAATAAATCATAAAATGTATGTAACTTTAGAAATTTTCCATTAAACTACAACATGCAAATTGACATACAAATAAGTATAAAATGTGCATCGGATTTCGAAGACTTGGTACCAAAAAATAATGTAAACTGTCTTATTAATGTTTTTTAAATATTGTTGGCCTGTTGAAATGGTAATATTTTAGATGTGCTGGGTTAAGGAATATATGTTATTACAATTATCTTCACCTACTTATTATTATTGTTTCATGTGGCCAATAGAAAATTTTAAATTACATATGCGGCTTGAATTCTGTTTCTGCTGGACAGGGTGGCTGCAGTCAGTCAGGAACTGACAGATACTTCAGGCCAGAGCAGCTGTTGACACTGGTCAGTTGTTCTGGTGCCTTCTGTCCTTTGCCCACTCCCCAGCCACCACCTCGGGAGTAAATGTTAGCTGAGAGGCTGTTGCTCACTTGGAGGGGAAATATGGTGTCATTAGAAAACCGAATCACAACTTAGACATTTTACAACTCCCTTTGTCATCACGGACTCTGGACTCTGGAACATTCCATAGCGTCTGAACACCCTGAATAATTTCTGGGGCATTTTGACTCTGATCACCCAAGTAATTGGGTCAGCCTAGGTCTGACTTCTCAGAACCCCAAAAGTCCTAGGCCCTGAATATGCCAGACTCTGTGGAGCAGCTGATGGTCCCTGAGCTGCCACAGGAAGACTCTGGAGGTTAAGATACATAAGAATGCAATGGTTTTGTAAATCTAAAATTATTTAAAATTAAAAAGTTTGTTTTTAAAAATATGTAACAAGTCTTGGGCCTGAAGCCAACCTGAAGATTCCTCATTTTATGACCCCAAGATATGCCTTAGTAGTTCCCGAAGAAGTCATTCTCCAGTTCTCTGCCTACTGACATGGCAGCCACCAGCCCTGTGGGACTACTGAGTGCTTGGGGCGGAGCTGGATCACACGGAGATGCGCCACACGTGTGAAATACACACCGAATTCCAAAGGCTTAGTATGGAAAGGTCATGCAAAATATCTCCCTAATAATTTGTATATATTGATCATGTGTTGAAATGATAATATTTCAGATATATTGGGCTAAGTAAAATACATTATTAAAATTAACTTCACTTGTTTTTTTTTTTTTTTAACCCTTGTTAGTATGGCTACTAGGAAATTCAAAATACACACACGTTTGCACTTGTGGCTCGAATTCTGTTTTTTTCTTTTGTTTTTTGAAATGGAGTCTTGCTTTGTTGCCCAGGCTGGAGTGCAATGGTGCAATCTTGGCTCACTGTAACCTCCGCCTCCCAGATTCAAGTGAATCTCCTGCCTCAGCCTCCGGAGCAGCTGGGACTACAAGTGCCCACCACCATGCCCAGCTAAGATTTGTGTTTTTAGTAGAGACGGGTTTCGCCACATTAGGCAGGCTGGTCTTGAACTCCTGACCTCAGGTGATCCACCCACCTCAGCCTCCCAATGTGCTGGGATTATAGGGGTGAACCACTGTACCTGGCCTTTTTTTTTTTTTTTTTTTTGAGATGGAGTCTTGCTCTGTCATCTAGGCTGGAGTATAGTGGTGCAATCTCAGCTCACTGCAACTCTGCCCCCTGGTTTCAAGCAATTCTCCTGCTTTGCCTCAGCCTCCCTAGTAGCTGGGATTACCTGCATGTGCTACCATGCCCGGCTAATTTTTGTAATATTTTTAGTAGAGACGGGGTTTCACCATGTTGGCCAGGCTGGTCTCAAACTCCTGACTGCAGGAGATCTGCCTGCCTTGGCCTCCCAAAATGCTGGGATTACAGGCATGAGCTGCTGCACCCGGCCTCAAATTCTGTTTCTATTGGACAGTGCCACTCTAGGACCATCCTTCCTCTACCCTCAGAGGATGAGCTGTTCTCCTCTGATGGACACATCATGAAATCCTGTTCTACAGCTGCCCAATGTGACCACGGACAGGACAGAGGCTGGGTTGTGGGCAGAGGCTGGGTTGATCAGGGATCCTGAAAGGAGCAGACGGTCAAAGCCGTCTGTAAGCCTTGCTCTCCTCGAGGAGAGGAGACTGCTTGTAATGGCTGAGAGAGCCTGGAAAATGGGTACTACAGTATTGACTATGTCGGGGCATGCGGTGAGGAGTATTACATGTAAAGTGCTTGGTGCCCCGCCCACGGCATGAAAACCCTTCAATCAATATGTCACATGTTATTTTTCATCTCCAGTCCCACCCTTCCATCCGCTCTTGAGCCTGACCCTTTTTCATTTACTTGCAAGTTTTGCTTTTTCTCTTAACCCTCATGCACCACATCTTTCCCTCTTTCTCCACAAAACCCTCCCATCTTTGAAGATGCTTGGCTCTTCCCAGCTCTTAAAGTAAAACATCCCTTTCCTTAGACTCGTTTGACTACTGACTGTCGGATTTCTCTCCTTCCCTTTGCAACTCATGCAAGCGAGCTATGTTTCCTTTGTCGGGTTTTGACCGTCCACTCCTTTCAGGATCCCTGATCAACCCAGCCTCTGCCCACAGCCTGAGACTGAAAGCACTTTCCAAAATTCACAGGACTTTCATCTCACCACACCTGAAGCCCCTTTACCCAGTTTCAGCCTTCTCCGCTTTTTATTTTTTTTTTAAACCAAGAACAAGAAAACTTAGAAATGCTCGTTTAAAAGTACTTTTAATTACGACAATCCAGCCTTCTCCCAGTGGGTCCCTAGTTTTCTGCAGCTTCCTGGGATGAGTGGGTAGGAGGTTGCCTCCATTTTTAATCTCTAAGCTCTTTTTGTTTGGGGAGTGAGGTAGGTCCTGTTTGGAAAAGGCTGTTCTTATCTGGATGGAGCCCCGTCCATTTCCCTGGAGGGCAGAGGTTGCTGGTGAGTAACAAGCATTAAGTCCTCAGGTCCTCACATCCTCTCTTCATCCCACTTGTGCTAAGCAGTAAACAGCTCTCCAGGACCCAAACAAAAAGGTTTTTATGCAGAGAACAAACGTGAAGAAATGCCAGGATCCAATTCAAGTGAATAAATAAACCCAGTTCTGAAGGCTGCAGGCCACAGGATTTCAGGGAGACCGAGCCAAGCAAGTTGGTTTCTTGAGAGTTGTTTCTGAAAGGGAGGGAGAAAGAGAGATCTCAGGGCTGTCAGCAGATCCCAGTGTCTCTAGACCCGCGCCCACCAGCCATCTAGACGTGAAAGTGGTTTCCCAGCCAACAACTAGCCTACCAAGTGTTGCATTGGAAAATCAAAGTGCGATGGCTCTCACGGACCGGACCGAGAACAGGGGCCTCCAGGCATCCGGGCCTGTGCCTGCACTGGGGACCTGGGAGATAAGGCAGAACCAACACAGGCTCTAGCAATCAGTGTCTTGTGATCTCAGCAACGCTGGGTCATCTGTCCCTGCCGGCAGGGGGAGCTGGCCACTCTGTCCCGGCCTCTGCCACTCCATCCTTACGAAGCTTCCCCCCCTCACCCCCGTCTCTGATGACCTTTTCTTTTCTCCACTAATGTTTGTATTTTTAGTAGAAATGGGGTTTCACCATGTTGGCCAACTAGTCTTAAACTCCTGACCTCCATCAACAATTTAAAAGTATTTTGTATATGCTGAGCACTCAACAAGGAAACGTGAGAGAAATAAACACCATCCTTTCCTTGCAGGAGCTCTCATAGTGGAGAGTGAGACAGAATCATGATCAGCTCCTAAGACGATGCCCCAGGTACAGTGATTGAGCTGGGGGCCCTAGGAGTGAGAGTGGGTTGGGTAGCAGAGACCACCAGGAGCAGTGCTGCATCCTGAGGGCAGGTCGGAGTGTGGCCATAGTAGGTGTGGGGGGAAGAGAGGGTGAGAGACACACGTGCATAGGGTGGGCAGGACGTGTGGTATTGCTGTCCCATACAACAGAGACAGGAAGTGGCAGGAAATGAGTGGAAAGGGACTCTGGATGCCATTTTAAGGACCTGGGTCAGTGATGAGGGAGCCACTGCAGGATTCTAAAGAGAAAAGTGTCCTGTCCATCATCCTGGCATTGAACATGAGTCACTCTATGGAGCAGAGAACTTGGTTAACAGAGACTGCCAGTGGCCTCTAAATCCCTGTGTTCCTCTCCTTTCTGGGCTCCTCCCCCCTCCCCACCAGCCTACGTTTTCCAACACCCCTTGCCTCTAGGCAGGGTCATGTGTGACTAGTTCTGGCAAATGGATCATTAGCCAGAGTGATATGGCCACTTTCAGGACTGGCCTCTAAAGGCTCCTGAGAGAAACTTCAAGCCCTTCTCTGTCTCCCAGCTAGACATGGAGGATCCAGTGGAGGATCCAGTGGAGGATGCTGGGACAGAGCCACAACATGGAAGAAGCCTGGGCCCCTGAACCACCATACTGAAGAGCATCCTATGCCAGCATGAATGGGATACACCTTTCCCTGTGTTAAGCCACTTCAATTTTGAGATTGTTATTGGGGCAGCAAGGACTACAGCAGCTGTTGTAGAGAGATGATAGAAGCCTGAATTAGTGGGTAGAACAGATTCAAGTAATTTTAGGGCAATACCATAATTACCACATGCCCATCAATTCCATGCAGGATGTGATGGAGAGGAAGGCACATCTAGAACAGGGCTGGTGGACTGAAAATTCAGAAGGAAGAAAGGGTCTAGAAAGAAGGTAATGAGGCCGGGTGCAGGGGCTCACGCCTATAATCCCAGCACTTTGGGAGGCCAAGGCGGGCAGATCACAAAGTCAAGGGTTCGAGACCAGCCTGACCAATATTGTAAAGCCCTATCTCTACTAACAGTACAAAAATTAGCTGGGTGTGGTGGCACGTGCCTGTAATCCCAGCTACTCAGGAGCCTGAGGCAGGAGAATCACTTGAACCTGGGAGGTGGAGATTGCAGTGAGCTGAGATTGTGCCATTGCACTCCAGCCTGGGCAACAGAGCAAGACTCTGTCTCAAAAAAAAAAAAAAAAAAAAAAAAAAGAAAATTCTTTAAAAAAAAAAAAAAAAAAAAAAAAAATGGAAGGCAATAAGCCAATGCTCAGACTCAGGGGAACTGTAAGCTTCAGTGGAGATGTCTAGGAAGCTTGGGTGAGAGGTCTGCACTGAACGTGTACATAGATGGTACTTTGAGCCAGGAAAGCAAATGAAATCCCAAAGGGAGAGGCAGGTGAGGTAGAAAAAGAAGTGAGATTATTGGGGTCCAGCGCATTTGAGGGTTACTTAGGGCAGGAGGATCCCACAGAAGAGATGAAGGAGGACAAGTCCATGAGGTAGGGACATAAAAAAGGGCCACGAGCGTCATGGAAGCCCAGAGAGAAGTCAGGCTGTTGCGGTTCCCAGGGCTCTGTAACAATCCCCAGACTTCACAATGGCAATGTTTATTTTGCTGTCGTTTATTTCTGTAGGGCTAGGTGGTAACAGCTCATCTCTGCTCCACTTGGCCTCAGTCGGGGTAACGTGGTGGCTGACAGCTGGAGCCACCTGAAGTCATGCACACTGTGGGCCCGAGAGTTCACTGAGGCTCAGGCCAAATGGATGGCGACAGCCCTGGGAATGGTAGAAGGCAGGGAGACAAAGGCCATCAGAAGTGGCTGTGACTCCAGTCTCATCCCATTGGCTAAAGCAAGCCATGGGCTGAGCCCTTCACTGGGGAAGGGAAAAAAACACTGTCTGTTCTCACGATGGGCACTGCCAAGTCACTGCAAAGGGTGGGTATGTGCCTGAAGCCCACAGGTGCCCTTGATGGACCAGAGTGGCAAAGATGCCCCATTTCCATTAAAAAATGCCATATTTATGCACTGCAGCAAAGCCGACAGTCCCAGCAGATGAGGCTACATCAAGGGCATTTCAGTGAGAGCGGTGGGGACGGCAGGGAGCCATAATTCAATCTGCCATAAGGGGTGCTGTGGGCATGCATTACTTTCCTCCACCTGGTAGACACAGACACAAAGACAAATTACAGGGGACACTGCAGACAACAAAGGCAAAATCCCCAAATCCCTCATCTCTAGACGTTTACACCTTGAAGTGTTGGAGTTGATCTTTGGCAAAAGCCCCAGCTTACTTCACCAACTAGAAACACATGAGCTAAAAATGAATGTCCTCTGCTGAAGCATCATTTTGAAAAAGTCTAGAACTAACTATCCGCCTACCTCTTCAAAGCTTACCTGGGGTCCCCTTTCCTGACTTCAGCGCTGGTAACGGCTGAGCTCTCCCTTCCCCAGCGAGGACCTGGTGAGTCCCTGGTTGCCTTTGCTGCTGTGCAGAAACAGTGGGGTATTGTTTTGAGGGAAATGGAGCATCTTTGTCGCTCTGGTCCATCCGCTACAGCCCTGGTTTTGACCTATGGTCTGGCCATTTGGGGCGCTGCAAGGTTGAGGAGGGGCTCAAAATAATGCTATCTGTGTCTTGGCCCACCACACTGGGCTGTTGTGTGAGACACTTGGAGCAAAGTGGAAAGGCAGGGTGCAGAGCCTGGGGGCTGCCCAGAGGGCGGGGAAGCTGGCCCAGCTTTGGGCTCCCTGAAATCCTCAGACTGTTTTTCAAACAGTTGGGGGACTGCTTAACACCCACAGTCAGTTTTTCCAAGTTCTACTTTTTTCCCATTGATTTAACCCTATGTGTAGCTCGGTGGAAATTTCGCCTTTGCATGGGCCTGAATGTGCACGTGCCTGAGTGCACTTGTGCATTTATGCACGTGGGTGTGCATGCCTGTGTGAGTGCACACATGTGTTAGTATGGTCTGCACACACATAGGAGAATGGTGCAGAGAACAGGAACATGAAAATTGGACACCTAGTCTACAAAAATTACTGACAATAAATTCATCACAATTTCTCTCACCCACTGGTACCCAAGAAGGGTAAGTTGGAATCACTTTTTAAAGTTGACATTATCATTCCATGGTGAAGAGGAGGGTTACGGATCGAACTACGCTCCTGCTCATTCATACACCAAAGTGCTAATCCCCAGCACCTCAGAATATGACCTCAAGTGGAAAGAAGGTTGTTGCAGATGTCATTAGTTAAGGTCATACTGGAGTAGCGGGGCCCCTAGTCCAGTATATCAGTTTCATTGTAAAAGGGAGAAACTGGAACAGAGACGCCCACACAGGGAGACCCCGTTGGAAGACTGAATTCTGCTGTCACCAGCCAAGGAAGTACCAGGAGCTGGAGAGAGGTGTGGGACAGACCTTTCCCTGGGGCCCTCAAAGGGAGCGTGGCCCCACTGGCATGTGGATCTCAGATGTGGAGCCTCCAGAACTGTGAGATGATAAATTGCTGCTGCTCAAGCCATGCCGTGCACGGTACTTGGTTACGGAGGTCCTGGGAGACTGATAGAGGAGTTAGGATGCCGCCGGTTTCCAATGATGAGTCACTAAAAACGCATTCCGTTTTGGTTCTTTGGGATACATTTTATGTGTTCTTCTAAGACTCACTTTCCTTTTGTGTTTGTTTGTAATTTTGTCAGGGAGATGTAAACTAATAGGCAAATGAATCTGCATTTCCTCACCACACGTGCATGCATTCCTCTTTCCAAGGAACAAGTCGTTTCCTTACATGCCTCCAAAGTGTGTGTTTCACTCACATTCTCCTATGGTTTCCTGCACCACCTTCTTCACTCTCAGCTGTTATTTTAGGTCTAGGGGCCCATGTGCAGGTTTGTTACATGAGTAAGTTGCATGTCGTTGAGGTTTGGGGTACAAATGATCCTGTCACCCAGGTAGTCAGCATAGTACCCAAAGGGTAGTTTTTCAACCCACATCCCCTTCCACTCTCCTCCACCTAGCAATCCCAGTGTCTGTTGTTCCCATCTTTGTGTCTATGTGTGCCCACTGTTTAGCTCCCACTTATAAGTGAAAACATGCAATATGGTTTCCTGTTCCTGCATTAGTTGACTTAGGATAATGGCCTACAGCTGTATCCATGTTGCTGCAAAAAACACAATCTTGTTCTTTTTTATGGCTGCATAGTATTCCATGGTGTGGATGTACCACATCTTCTTTATCCAGCCCACCACTGATGGACATTTAGGTTGATTTGTGTCTTTGCTATTGTGAAAAGTGCTGCGATGAATTGGTAGAACAATTTCTTTTCCTTTGGGTATCTATTCCATCATGGAATTGCTGGATGGAATGGTAGTTCTAAGTTCTTCAAGGAATCTCCACACTGCTTTCCATAGTGGCTGAACTAGTTTACGTTCCCACTAACAGTGTATAAGTGTTCTCTTTTCTCTGCAACCTTGCCAGCAACTGTTATTTTTTGACTTTTTGATAGTAGCCACTCTGACTAGTGTGAGACGATATCTCATTCTGGTTTTGATTTGCATTTCTTTAATGAATATTGATGTTGAGCATATTTTCATATATTTGTTGGCTGCATGCATGTCTTCTTTTGAGTAGTGTCTGTTCATGTCATTTGCCCATGTTTAATGGGGTTGTTTTTTGTTTGTTAAATTGTTTAAGTTCCTTGTATTCTAAATATTAGACCTTTGTCAGATGCATAGTTTGTGAATATTTTCTTCCATTCTGTAGGTTGTCTCTCTACTCTGTTGATAGCTTCTTTTGCTGTGCAGAAGCTCTTTTGTTTAATTAGGTCCCACATGTCAGTTTTTGCTTTTGCTCCTTCAACACTTAAAAAAAGAAATAACACCACCACCTTCCTCACCGTGATCAAGTGGGATATGAGGCAGTGGTCTTATTGGCCAAGAAAGTGGCTGTCTGGATAAGCTCCCCAGCCTCACCATCTCAGCTCTATAATATACTAGCTTCAAGAATTCAGGTGAGTCACTAAACAGCCAGTAGCTTCAGTGTTACCAGCCATAAAACAGTGACAACGGTACCTTGTGAGACCTGAATAAAGTGGTGCAAAAACAAGGAAATGAAAAAGTTGAGTTTTCCAAGATGCATTGAATTTGCAAACACAGTCAGGAAGCTCCTCCTGCCTGTCATGCTGTGTTCTGGGTATGACAATGCAAATGTTGAACAGAATAGTCCCCACCCTTAGGACTTTACCATCCTGTTCTTCACTAGAATGTGATTAGGTCTGGGAGAATTAGATGAGATGGGGACTTTTCAGCATTGTGTGATAGAAATCCAGCTCGAACCTACTGAGACAGAAAATGACATTTACTGGCTCACTTAACTGAAAAATCCAAGGGCAGATGGCTTCAGGCATGGCTGGACATGGGTGCTCAAACACTGCTATCAGGAATTGATCCCTCTCCACCCCTTAGTTCTGGCTTGCCCAACATTGTCCTTCTTACACAGGTGATAAGGTGGCTGCCAGCTGCTTCTGGCTTATATTGTACTCATTTAGAAAACCAGCAGTAGAATCTTTTGCCCAAAATACCAACCAGAGTCTTCTGGAGTGCTTGCATTGGCTTGGCTTTGGTCAGGCCCCTCCTTAGTGACCCAGTTATGTGGCCATGGGTTGGAAATGTACTGAATGGCCATGTTTGGTTCATGGACACATTCATGATGACAGGAGGGAGAAATTAGCCCGTCTCAAGTCAGATGGGTTGAATCTAGAAGAGCAATGATTTCCCTTAAAAGGAAAATATGGGAATACATGTTGAGCAGGCAGAAACAATAGATGTCTGTTACAGAAACAGGGAAGGGAGCAAGTGTTCCACCTAAGAGAAGAGTAGAGGTGCTAGGGGAAGCTTCAGGAAGGGGAAATGAAACTGTGCCAGAGTTCCCTAGGGATAAAAAAAGGATTATAGAAGGAGGAATTGCAGCAGAGGAAATGGTTTGTGCAAAATATGTGGACATGTTTCCTAGATAACAAGTTTTCTGTAAAGCTAGGGTGAAGCTAATCTAACGGGGAACTTCATTTACCTGCTTGCAGATGAGAGAGCAGGCTGACCTCCGTAGTTTTGTTTCCTAGATTGTATGTTTCAGTTCTAGAATTTGTTTGACTCTTTTTTATAGCTTCTGTTTCTCTGCTTAGATTTCCCATCTTTTCATTCATTGTGAGTATATTTTCCTTTAAAATATTGACTGCAATAACAGCAGCTGCTTTAAAATCCTCATCTGATAATTCCAAAATCTGGATCATTTCAAGGTCAGTCTACACGAGTTGTCTTTTCTCTTTAAGATAGGCCCCACATTCCTGGTTCTTTGTATGTCAAATAATTTTGGATTGCATTTTGGGTCTTATGAAAGTTGTGTTGTGCAGACTTTGGACTCTGTTATGTTTCTGCAAAGAGTTTTTCTGTATTGTTGTTAAACAGAAGATTGAGTTGCTTGGGCTGAACCTTCAGGCTCTGTCTCTCTTGGAGTTTTTAGGTAGGTCGAGATAAAAAGGGGCTGGTGACAGGAAAAGCACAGGTCACTGTCATCCTCTTTCCCTGATTTGCTGCCTTCCTACTGAGAGAGAGCATGCCCAGAAGAGGAACTCTCACTCAGGATACAGACCTGCTTATCCTGGGGAGCTTTGATGTCAAGGAAATGTGGTTGGTTAATGGCTGCAGAGGTTGACCTCTCTGGTCTCTGAGCTGTCTAATATGCTGTGATTTTCATGTCTAGCCTTCCGCAGAGCAATAAGATAGGTCTTAGCTCTCATTAGCAAGCTTTGTGCTTTAAAGCCATAAGAAGGAGCTATAAAAATTTAATGAAAGTCGAGTGTAAATCAGTGTAACTATTTTGAAAAGCATTTTGGCAGCATCCAGCAAAGCTTAGGCCATGCACACTCTGTAGCCCTGCAGTCTCTCTCCTAAATATATACCCCAGAGCCCTGTCTCTCAAACTTTTCAAATCATGACCCACAGGAAGGAATATCTATACCCCAATCCAGCCAGCAGATATGCACGTGCACACACACACACACACACATACACACCCCTCTGAAGCGAAAGTGCCATGACATATTACTTACTCTATGTGTGATGCCTTTCTAATACTTTCTTTTCCTATTATTTTTAATGCTGGGCATGGCTCACTAAATTCATTTCAATACTTATTAATGACTACAACTCCCATTTTGAAAAATAGTGCCCTCAAGAAACAAGAAGACGTGGACAAGAGTATTACAGCAGCATTGTCCATGATGGAAACCTGAAACATCCTACATAGCTATCAACAGGAGTATAGACAAGTACACGGCAGAATAGCCAGACAAGGGACGTCACACCGTGGTGAAAATGGATGGACTACTGCCAAGTGTGTCAGCATGGATGAATTTCAAAATTACAATATTGAGGGTGAGCACAGTGGCTCATGCCTATAATCCCAGCACTTTGGGAGGCTGTGACGAGTGGATCACCTGAGGTCAAGAGTTCAAGACCAGCCTGGCCAACATGGTGAACCCCCCCCCCCCACTAAAAATGCAAAAATTAGCAGGGTGTGGTGGTGGGCATCTGTAATTCCAGCTACTCGGGAGGCTGAGGCAGGAGAACAGCTTGAACCCAGGAAGCAGAGTTTGCAGTGAGCCAAGATCAGGCCACTGCACTCCAACCTGGGCAACAGTGCAAGACTCTGCCTAAAAAAAAAAAAAAAAAAAAAAGCCGGGCGCGGTGGCTCACGCCTGTAATCCCAGCACTTTGGGAGGCCGAGATGGGTGGATCATGAGGTCAGGAGTTCGAGACTCACCTGGTCAACATACTGAAACCCTGTCTGTACTAAAAATACAAAAAATTAGCTGGGTATGGTGGTGCTCACCTGTAGTCCTAGCTGTTCAAGAGCCTGAGGCAGGAGAATCACTTGAACCCAGGAGGTGGAGGCTGCAGTGAGTCAAGATTGTGCCACTGCACTCCAGCCTGGGTGACAGAGTGAGACTCCGTCTCAAAAAAATAATAATATTGAGTGAAAGAAGCAAGTTGTGGAAGAGTAGATACAGTAAGATACAGCTTAAAGCATATAATACATGGTGTTTGGGAGATTTTCATACCTATGTAGACATGTTTAAAGAAGTGCGTAGGAATAATTAATAGCAAATTCGGGATAACTAACTCTTAGAGGGAGGCTGGGTCTTCTATTGTTTTGTCTGGTGACATTTGCTTTCTTAACCCAGTGAAGGGTTTGTGGCCCTTTGCTGTATTAATCTCTAAATCTTTTTGATCATCTGAAGTTCTTATTAAAAAAAACAAAACTCTAATGAAAGGTCACAAGATCGCAAAACTGGTGCCAACTTTTCTTTCTCAATATTCTGACTGCCAATATGCCATTTTGCCTGCGGTTTGGGTAGCTCCTGCTGCGTTCCAGCCCTTATGAACTGAGAAGTTGCTCAAACTCTTTGTAAAATTTTAAATTACAGACGCTGTGTAGAGGAACCAGAGAGCTCAGCTGCTGTGACCCCACGCCCGT